AGACTCATTTGTATCACAATGCAAAAGTCAGTCGGTTTGGAGATGGGTAGCGAATAATTTCCGTTTTGCGACATACCTTACTTGTTTGGTCTTTTTGTGGCTGTAGTATCTCTATAGTAGATCCCAGACTTTTATGTGTGTTCCAATATCGCTTCGTTTCCTTTTATTTTTGTCATTTCCACTTTCGACTTATTATATGCTCGGATATTAGTCTCAGTACTATTTTAATGTGTTAATGAAAGGAGTTGATTTGGTTTTCGCGCAAATTTCAATTCCCCTCCCGAATTCGGACATTTTTCATCTGCCGATTATTTCTCTTTGGATATGCTTTTTCTCCAGCTGAGTAGAGCTACATGCTGAGCTGTAACTTTACGTGTTTATACATCTAAAGAAAGTAATCTTACGTACATTCAGAACATACGTCTATTAATTGAAACAGTGAATTGATATTTTCATATGAAATTTTAAGGATGTTGTTAAGGCGTAACATTCACAGATTATCGAACATTCTACGGCGATGTTACGCTGCAGCAGAGACCGCACATGATGCAGGAAAAGAATCAGTAAATACTGAAGAATTGCGATTGACTTTTGCGTCACCCGTTGAGGTATAACGATGCCTTAATTTGAGCAATATCAAATGGTATTACTCATAACTTTCTTTCTTGTTCATGTTTTCCTGCTTCAAGCAAAAGACAGTCAACATCTTTGACAATGTGAAAATTGTCCTTTTACTTTACAATCTAGGAACACTTTATACATTAATAATTGTTGATGACCGAACGTATTGTCTTTGCACATGTCTTCAATTACAGCAGTATGAAGTTGAGTTTCAAAACGAAATCTCAGTAAGGGTTGCTACCATTGGAAGCTAAGTTATAACTTCGAAGGTTTCGGTTAAATTGTAAGTATGGCGATTTTGTAAAAAATAGCAAAAATGAGTTTAAATGAAAAAGTTTAATTTGTAATTAATAGGAAAATTATTTTCTCGTATTTTTATGTTTCAGGTTTTCTTTAATAATACTGTTGTAAAGCAGGTCGATATTTCTACCTTGAATGGCTCAATTGGTATTCTACCAAAACATGTACCGGTATTGGGAATGCTGAAACCGGGTGTTGTTCGAGTGGTGGACAAAGATGGTAGATTACACAAATTTGGACATCATATGAGAAATTGATACGTCTACATTGCAATTTGCTTATGTTTAAGAGCTATTTTGCATTATTAATTTTTCATTTTTCAGATAAAAGCATCCAATATTTTGCCTCATCTGGTACTCTTTCAATGAATCCGGATGGTTCTTGCCAAGTTCTGGCTGAAGAAGCAGTCAGACTTGAGGATATTGATGCAGCGGTATAGTCTTTCAGATCTCGATCTAGTTTTTTTAGTTTTAATCTGTCATTACCTTTGTAAAGTATGGTCAAGACTGACGATTGTCATTCAAAACTGCGTTATGTTTATTATGCTTAATTTGAATGGAGAGAGCGTACTTACAGAAGGCTGAAGAAGAACTGAGCTTGGCACAGCGACGTGCCCAAGAAACAATGGAAGATGATGCCCGAGCTGTGGTACAAATTGAAATAGAGACATACGAGGCGCTGGTAAAAGCTGCACGCGACATGGAGAAGTGATTTGAGCAGTTGATTCACGTTCTGGTATTTAAGTACTGTTACTTTTGCTTTTGCTTTGCTCCGCGGAATGAAGGAAACCAAACAAATTAAAATTTTGCGCATAGATATATTTTTATGGAGATGAACAAATTACCTGTTCATAATGAGTTTTTGCCTTTTTCACCCTCTTGGCATTTTGAAATCCTTTTTTTCAAATTTCGGTTTCTTTTCACTATCGTGGTGAAGCCTGCCATTTAAGCCTGCCATTTTGGTGATTAAGGATTATCCAATTTTATTGTTAACTTATCACGTTTGTAGCTTCTGTCGTCCATTTCTGAAGTGATCCTTCAGTCGTTAATTTTACAGTGGAGTAGGTTCATAGATTTGATAGATATATTATCCATCGAATTAAGTTTAGGATAGCTTTGCCTCATTTATTGATGATCTATCAGATGTTATCAGAATAAAAGTAATGCACGAACTATATTACATGAATATTAGTGGTGAAAATGACGTTTATGTAGTGTATATCCTGAGCAGATCAATGTAGCTTGTGTTCCTTATCTTGTTCGAGTCATAGTATGGCCGAAAAAGTTTCCCCAATGATAAATGGCCAAGCTACAAATAATTTATTAGAGAGCTGGTAAGGTTGATCAAAATGTAATAGTTCTGAATGATGTAGGATTGCATGTGCGAAGGACAGCCTCACAATTCAAAATGATTTTGCACCACATCGGTTTTCTTTCAAGCGTCCCTAATTTAACATCGAGGAATAGCAAAATTCTTATCCGACAAAACCGAGTTAATTTGAATTGATTTGCCACTTTGAGTGATTTGTCCCACCATGTTTTAAATTTTTCACTTGACATAAAGCATGACTGTAATAATTTTGTACGATTTGCTTCAAGTATTGATGTGATACACGGTCTCTTACGCCAACTGCATAATGGGCGGCTTGTGTTTAAGAAAAAAGGCATGATATTATTGCTATGCTTAACACTACTGTTTCTTTTACTGCTTCCTGAAAATTATTTACGAATACTTCATAAAATGCTCTCTTCATATCTCCAGAAAATACGGTTTCGCCTGTTTCATACTTTAATATTGCACACTTGGGTCTTCTTTTATATCTCAAGCCATTTCAATTGAACTTTGCAGGATTTTACTTCTCAATGAAATATTTCTAAAAGTTTCGGGAAATAACCCACACACTAATGTGCGACGAAAGAGATAAGAAGATATCGTGAAGATAATCATTGTTTTAGTTCCATTCAATAAGCAAAGGAGAAGCAAGTTTTGTTAAAATTATTAAATTAAGAAGAAGGAATATTTAAAATGAATCGAATGTTAGATGAGGAAATGAGGAAATGAAATGAGGAGGGAGGGGATGAGGAAATGATTTCATATAAGTTACAGTGTACTTCCCACACACTCTGCACTTTTTATTTTCTAAATCCCATCGAATCAATCAGTTTTGATTCATGTTGCAATCTTCCAGTTCCTTTATCATCAAAAACAAGTTTACATTAATTCCTGTATTACATCTGCCTTAGTTTGCATCGGATGCCTTCAGGTACTGATTAATTTCACAAATCAGTCACATAAAAGTCTTTCAAATGTCTTTTAAAGCATCTTCATCAAACATATTTAAACATAAATTAATGCGGATTGAGATATAAACATAAATTAATGCGGATTTTCATCAAACATATCATCTTCGATGAAAAGCATCTAACCTTCACTTCAACTCCCTTTGACATTTATGAATTTTCACAATATTAAAAGAAATTGATAGTATATGAATAGTAGTTTGATGTGCGAAAAATTGGTGATCTATACCACTGGCTAGTTACTTTCTTCTAAGACGATGATCTGAAAATGTTGGATTCAAAAGTTAGTTGTTTCTTATTGTTATTGATTGCCAAATAAAGATCCAAGTAACAAATTACCAGTGTCACGTTTATATCTCAGTAATTCATTGCAAGAATAATGAAATTATAGGAGGTTGTTAGAAAAAATACAAACATGCACTGTGTTAATATAAATTTTAATTGGAAGATTTAATTAAACAAAGAATTAAATAATCAAATAATTATCTTTGTATAAATTAAACGAGAGGATGAAAAAACATCTTAAATCAGATAAAATAAAATTTCAATTTACTATAACAATTCAGGAATTCGTCATGCAGCATTTAAATTATTGCATTCTTAAATCGTATTTTATTATCCGTATTTGAAACATTGTTATTCTGTTGTACAGTCATAATTCATCAATGAGGGAATTTTAAGATTCGATTTCAGCAGTTATCAATAACCATTTCCAAATTTAAGTAATCATGAAATTATTTCTTTTCTGGTGATAAGTCCTTTTTTATTTCACCGCTTCTGTTATAATACTTACAGAATAATCATCTACTTATGCCATTTTAATAGAAGTAACTGGAAAATTTATATGACAAATATCTCTTTTCTCTGTTCATTCATTCATATTGTTTAATCAAAAATTTCCGTTTACTTTGCAAATGTAAAGTTTCATCCTGAAGAAAGAGCTTTCCAAATGGTATTTACAGTAATTAATTATTCATTTCCCTTTCTTTCTTCATCTCTCGGAACGCTCAACAGTTAATAGTTATAGTACTGAAAGACAATAATGATGCGGAAATAATGATCATAACCTGGTATTCCGAGAATGACAAAATGATGGAATAGCGATGAAATAGGCAGAGATGTTCATTTGATTACTTGTGGGTGTAATTGTAGGAAGTTCTGTGACAAGAAGTGTTTTTATTAATGAAATGCGCATTATCTGTTGTATCTGCCGGACGAAAAATGATTGAAAACCATTTTTACTTCCGCTGATGTGATACAATGTATGAATGACAAATGTTTTGTTCTCTCAAAGTGTTTTTTTATTTTCATTTGTTTACAGTAACAAAGAAACGGAAGTGGAGCAATTAATTGTTTTGGATTTTTAAGATATCTTAAATCTAAATTTAAAACCACAATTCCGATAACCTCTGAACAGTTATAATTGAATGATTAAGTGAGTACACTCTTAGATTTGATTTTAGATGAAAATTGCTCCTGAAGCATCCAGTAATTCCAAAAAATACTGAATTTAATAATGAAATGGATCAGATCGATTACTTCAAAGCAAATAATGATAGTTGCTACACTAATAGTAAAAAGAAAAATTAATAGAACTAATTATCTGAGCCAAGATGAAATTAATTAATACATTTTCACCTTCATCATAACTATTCTTAAAAGAGCCAGCTTTTCTAAAACTAAAACAAATAACTGTTAATAGTAATTGTTAATTACAAGAAGTAACTTTTGATCTGTTTAATTGAATCGCTTTCTTTAGCTAAAAAAAGAAATTTAATATCAACTAATTGCATGAGGGCCAATAATATCCACCGCACAACTGTATACATTAATTGGATGACAGCGCTGCCTACTAAGATATTTGATAGCATCAAAATTATGCAAATATTGTTCCCGGAAATGATTAAGCTTTGCTTGTCGATCGGCAAAACATCGAGCATCAGTCCAGTTAAATTTCGTCATAGGAATGGTTTGATGAAGTATAAATCCAGTTGTTAGGAAGAATGAGCGGAATCGTTCTGCTTCCTCCATCTCAGAAAGCTGCAATTAAGAAATTCTTTTTTAAGATTTGTCAGGTTAACAATAAAGTAACAGAAAAAGAAATGCGAAAATTACCTTCTTATTTGTTACATTTTTTTCATGAATTTTCCAAAGTTGCCATAACATTTCCATAATATCAGGTTGGTCAGCAATGGCCGGAAATGTAGCAAGGAATGGTTCAGCTTTAAGCGCTAAATTAAATAACTTAAATATTTCTTTAAAAATTTATGAAAAAAAAAACCTTTAAAGCTATAAAAAACTTAATTACCTGAAGTAATAGTTTAATTACCTGTACTATCGCAATTATCGGAGTCTTTTGTCAAAAATTGGCCTAATAGACGTCGATAGTAGAAAAACATTGGTAGAAATAATGCATGACATAAAAAAATATCTGGCAGAGAACTGAAATTATCACGATGAAATTAATCATTTAATTGATATTTTTGAAATCTTTGTTTTCTTAATTAAGTAACAAAATTTATTTGAGAAAATTTAATGTCATCTTCCGGAGCGTTGTACATTCTTAATTTTCAAGAAAAAAAAGTCATATGAGAGAATATACTTACTCAACTTGATAAAGGATATTACTGGGCACATCCGATACACGAAAAGTTATTTGAACTTGAGTATTTACAGGGACTACATCTATAAATTAAAATGTTAACTTTAACAGTGTATTTAAATTTGAAATTCATTTTCTCAATTCGATAAGTTCAAAAAACTACAACTTTTAGATTTTAGATTTCATTTCTTGTTAATTTAGTTCATTTAAATAAACTAACAATGCAAATTATTTATTCATTTTATTTTTCTCATTTTTAATCAATAATTTCTAGTTATTACTTTTTTTATTATTAAAATTTACTATAATATTTAATTAGCTTTATGTGTTACAGCAAAAATTTTATACCTTCTTTGTTAATAGAATTGCGCGTAAATAGATTTGCGGTATAATTTCTGAAAATTTTTTTAAAAATTCAATAAAATATATTTTATATATTTAAAAGTAATCAAATTTCCATTTTTAACTTTTAGAAAATATAAAAATTTAAATTAAATCAATTTTTGTTCGCTTATTTGCAAAGCTTAATTTTACTATCGAATTTATAAATTATTTTAAGGTAACGAAATGAGAAATAAATTTCAACTTTGTGATAAAACGATATTCAAATATAATATATGAAAATGACTGAATCGAATTAAATTAGCCTTAATCAAAAAATACTTGTTTTGAATGCAACAATGTCCATTTTCATCGATGATCGGTAACACAACACAGCCAAGTGATCCTTCAGACATTTCACCCTCCTGCAAATTAATTCTATTTATTTCCAGATTTTCTTTTTTAGCATATATAATTATTAATTTTCAAATTTTAGCGAGAGCTTTGCCTTCTTGTTTTTCATTCAAAAAATTTATTTTTATTCAACAGCTAATGAACATTACACATGAATGTATGAATGAATTTAATTTTAAAAGTAAAATTAAAGAGGAGCAATTAATCAAAGTTATTTTTTGCTAATTTCTTTTTATTGTTCATTTTTTATTGTTCTCGAAAGAGAATGCATAAATAATTAAAACTTAAAAATTCTTTTTAATTACTTACATGATTGCTGAATATAATAGTAGCTTCCAGACACAACATTACACTTTTCTGCTTGTAATTTGAACGTAAGATGAATAACGGATAATTAAGTGATGCTTTCTGTATATCTTTCTTTAAAATTTTTTTAATAATATTTTCATTCTAATTAAGAATTTAAAATTATAAAGTATTTTAATTAATTAATAAGCTTATTATTGATAATCTACTGAAAACCATTGCTTACATAAGTTAATACAGTATTAATCTCACATCAATATCAATGTCATATCTAATCCAATTGCTGCACAAAAATCATCTAAAGAAACTTATTAACTATAGTAGCCATATTATATTTTGTATTATATCCTTTATTTTTTCAATGTTTTTTTTTGTTTATTGATTACTAATTTACATCGTCACTTGCAATATTTATTCCAAAAATTTCAACTAATGAAATCTAAATAATCAATTTACCGCTGTAGAGAAAGTCCACGTTTGTGAGTCACGTGTACGTGTACGAGGATATGCCTTGATTGTATAAATATTACTCACCTGTAACTATTTATTTTTTTAATATTTCCACTTTCTGAAAATGAAGCACCTATATTATACATTATTCGTATACTACTCATATATCTACCTAGTTCATATGCTATCACACAATTATTAGACTATTTAACTTCTTCAGAAGTTTTTCCGTCTTTTCCGTTAGCTCAATTATTTGACTTTTTAAAAATATGGAAAAAGAAATGTTAAAAAAGTAAAAAAAAATCACTATTTGACATTCTTCCTCTGCGCTCTTTTCATTGAACAAATACGCTCGTATCAGTCGACAATGTACATCGATTGCATTCAGACGCACTTTATCCAAACTTATCACTTTGATCATTTTACTAACTCGCACTCTTCTTTTTCGTAACTATAAATAGATATTTCTTCTTCTTCTATAGCATTTTGAAAAATGATTGAAAAGAACTGAATAAATTATATTTGGGATTGTATTTTAGAAAATTAAGAAATTACTCTATCATCCTCATAATTCCAGTAAATATCATGAAATGCATAATTTGATTTACTGAGACGTGGTGCCAAATAACATTCATATGTTAAATGAGTACCTAAAAAAAAAATTTATCAAATAACTAAAATATATTTTGTTTTGTTTTAAACAAAGTTGTTATTGTCTATTGTTTACAGTTCACAGTGAAATATACTTCTTAAAATTATATTTTAGAAGAAGATATGGATATATTTAATCATTTTGATTTTGATATATTATTCATATTTGGAATTTAAATTTATTAAATATCTTACTGTAATTATTTTGTCTTTCAGGCGAATTTGGTAAAGTTACAGGCTCATTAAGTGATCTCTGAAAATAATTTATGATTGATAAATAAGGAAGAAATCATTTATAAGTTTAATCTTTTGAAAATATCAACGATCTTTACATTCGTCTTAATAATAAGCTAAAAAGAAATGAAAAATATATACCGGTAAAGAAGTTCCCAGAATTTTTGCCTCAGACAACTCTAAATGTTGTCCTGAAATTCTGCTATTATCAGAACTCGATTCTTCAAGAATTTTAGTTTCCACAATTTGTCCAATATTTGAAATTTCTGCAGATGCATTTTTATCACCAACAGTTCCAACATTTACTTCATTCTGGTGCTTTTTTCCTTCTGATGCTTTTGTTTTTTCAGTAATTTCTTCACTTTTGATTGTTCGAGCATTTCCAGCTTGTATTATTTTTGTGGCAATAGTCTTCCGAGGCATTGGTAAAGGTTTATTAGACTCATTTGCTATTTCTTTAGATTCAATCAATTTTTTGTGAACTTTCAGAAGAAAGGTTTTTGGAACAAATCCACGATCACCATTTGCATTTTCTGCTAGCCACCAGCCATCTTCTCTAAATAATTTCTTCAAACAATTAATCGCTTGTTAAGGATACTTTGAGAAAAAACACCATGAATGATAATAACAAATTAAACAAATTAACAACAGTTGAATAAATTGTTATTAATAACAAATTAAATAATTAAATAAATTTTTCAAAATAACAAATTGAATAAATTTTGAAAATTTTAAATTTTCACATACCGAGTAGCAATAATTCGCACTAAATCATTTTGCTTCAATGTTAGATCATTTTTTTCCTGTGCTTCGAAATTAGCGACAGCAATGAAACGATCATCTTCAATAAGTGCGCTTCCTGTATCTTTCAATTCTTCCCTAAAGCAAAATCTGAATAAATGAAAGGATGAAATTATTGAATTCCATGCAAGCATTCGAATGTCAAGCTAGAAGGTATTAGATATTATGTAATAGATTGACAATTCATCAAGCAATATCAAGTCTTTCTTAAATCTGCTCACTTTAATAATCTCTTCCAAATATAGCAATATCACTATGCATAACGATGACAACAATTTTGCAAATTTTTAATGCCAACTAGGTTTAGATAATTTGAATAGCTTAACCACAGGAGGACAAAATTAGCCGAATTGAGTTACAGATGATATCTTCTATGACCATTTCAAACCTATGGTCTACATATTGTGGTCAGAGCCTGCATACTCCCAAACGATACTGATAAAAAATTGATCAATAGTTTAATTTCATCTTCAATATTCTTTAGAACTTATTGCTATGTGTTATCTTTTTTTCGCTTCAAATTCCTCTCATTCTAAATGATAATATTTGAAAACAAGCCCAACTTTAAGTTTATCTCTCTCATTTTGTGCTGTTCCTTAACTATCGAATGATCAGAATCATAATCTGGATCTGATGATGAATCCTCCGATGAAACTTCGACAACATCCTCCTTTAATGAATTGTTCATCTCTTCTATCGAAGGCATCTTTTCTTCTTCTCTATAATAATTAAAATTAAATATCTGTCTGTATTTATAACTTCTTTTATTTCCCCATTTTTACCGTATTCTATAGAATTATGAAATTTTTACCTTATACTCTTGACGAGGGTTTTGTTTTCTTCTATAGTAGTTTTGTTTGAAATCATCAAATTTGACAATTCATCCTGTAAAAATTCTACAGTGAAGTTTTTTGGTGAATTTTTTGCCTAATAGGGAACTTTTTTCTCTCATCTTAAATTAACCAATGATATCTTTAAATAACTCAATAATTTTGGATATAGAAAAATGTACAATTTGGCCTAAATGTTTATTTTAATTCAAAATCTAAATATCATAGATTTTTCGGATGCAAATTTTTGACTATTTTAAATGTTTATTTAATTTAGCATTGCATAATTAATTAAAATTAATTGGTCCTTTGTAAATTTAGTATATTTAACTTTTAATATAAAATAAAATACATATTTAACTTACAGCCATTGTTTCCAAATCCTTAAGTGCATTTTCTTTGTAATGCTGTTCGCTCGTACTTTTCATTTCTTCCACCTTGCGCTTGTAATTATCCAACTGTTTCCACAAATCAGCACATTGTCGTAGAAATTTGTTTTCATCAAATGAGCTGTCATTTTTCTGCGATTCTTTTTGTTGTTTCAACTTCTCCACCTTACTTTTGAAATTCATATGTAAATTCAATGGTATCATCAATAAAAATATTTTTATTCAAAGAATTCAAAGGCTAAAAAAAGAGACTTCGGGAAAAGATAATTAAAAGAATTTTCAGTTCTGATTGTTATTTTGCCTATCAATAACAATACCTCGAAATAATGATTTTCTAATAGAAAGCTAATTTGAGGAAGGTTTTCGGTCAAATTCTGCAAGAGTAAATTTAATTATTCTAAAATTTAGAAATATTTTTATGCCTACTTGTATATGAAATCGTTGTAATCGTTTCTGATCATTATTAAAGGATAAGAAATGAGTTAAGATTGACGCCATATCATCAAATCGTCGTTATGCCAATTTCTCTTATAGAAAACACATTCACTGTAATGGATGTCAACAAGCGTTGCCCTGACAACCTCTATAAATTATTGTTTATTGTTATTATGCATTTCATTGGCTCAATTTCCATAATTAACTGGACTGCATTAAATTTGAATGAGGTCAAGATAAAATTAATACTAATCTTATCCAATTATTCTTTTTCCTAACATATTTCACAAATCTTTCCTTTCATATGTTAAAATACATAAAGCTTTTAAATCTCAAAATCCTCCATTATGCATTATATTACTTTCTCTTGTGCATTATATTTCTCTTGTAATGAAAGTTGCTGGCCTATTTCGGTATCTGCAAGTTAACACTGTCTCATAAGTTGTACAATATATGTATATAAATGAATATATTTAAAATTACTGTAAGAGCAAATTTTAGGCCAGACGAATTTTTAACCGTATTATCGATTAATTTCGATTTTCCGGACTAAAACGATTAAATTTTTTTGTTTTGCATTTATTCCATTTGCCATTTATTTTCATCTTTCAGTTTATAAACGTTTTATTACAACATTCAATACATTTCAATTTAAGACAATTACTAAAAATTGCTTGCTTATTTCAATTTCAAAATCGTTTACTTCAATAATAACTCTTAGCTACAATGACATTCTACAAAGTTGTGATGAAAATTTAATTCGATTCTCGTTAATACATATGAATTTACTTCAACATCTCATCATATTATAAATAATACTTATTTTTACGAAGCAATTGGTGAAAAATGAAAATTTGAAAAATATAAGATATTGACGAATATTTCATATATTTGCACTGAAAACAGAAGAGGAGAATATAAGATAAAATATCATTGATAAATGCAAACCTTTTAAATTGTCAAATAATTGAATTTCAAATAAATTTGTTGATCATCGATCTCATTTGACAATATTATAAATACTTATTCGGATAGAAATTTATTGAATATCTTATTTTCTAATTTTGAATTCAATTCCATAAATTTAATAATTCATCAGTAGTTTTTAATGAAATTATTTTAATTTTCAGATATCATTCTACTCTCTCTGCTTCTATTTTGCTCTTTCTTGTATTTCTTATCACTTTCTTGTCTCTATTTCTTCTGATATTTTCTCATCCGGTATATGACTTCCAATTAGCAATATATAAAACCAGCCACCAATTAACGCACCAAGTATTGGGCCTATTATTGGCACTAGGAACCAGTAATTCCATGGATGCCTGAATAACATATAAATTGAGTAAAAATGTAAAACAATTTGATTTAAATTAAAACTATTGCTCGTCATCTTTGGAAATCTTAGAAATGCATATTATTCACTTACGCAAAAACTTTTGTTCCGTAAACGAAATAAGTAAACAATCGTGGTCCAAGATCTCTTGCTGGATTCAATGGAAAACCGCAATTCCATCCAAATCCACATCCAATGACAAGTAATGATATGCCAATCAATACTGGTTGAGCTGCGAAAGGTACCTTATTCGGTTCATCAGTAATCATTAATATGCAAAATGCAAGCAGACCTGTTCCAGCTACCTGAATTTATTGGAATTTTTTTCAGACAAAAAATATTTAATGAAAAAAATGAGAAACTTCGATCTTTAAATTTTTTCCTTCATATAAATAATAACTGCATCTTTCTCTATCAAAAAATTAAAGATGAAGACTGATGACTGCTTTCTTCCTTAAAATGCAATATACCTAATCGTACCTGATCGTAGTATCCAGTTAAGGCAGACAGAAACGGTTGAGGATATGTCGCAAAGATGCCAGCTGTTCCATTTGAACCCGCGATTGCTCTCAATCCACCATCATAATAGTTTATTGCGTCTGCAATTTTCACCCTTATTTTGTCATAGCTCAGGATAATAACATTATCGTAGTAAAGATTCAAAAGAATAGGAAATCTTGTATGATGTGATATTGACGAATGTTTCATAAAATGAAGGATTCAGAATAATAATAAAAAATCGACATAAGTAATTAAATAAATAACATCCTGTCACAATTCTTTAACACTGCTTTCTATTACGCAATTTACATGAATAATTTTTAGGAAAAATTTTTTCAGCAGATAAGCATACCACGATAAACGATATAAGTTGCTGCGGCACCAAAAAATGCGCCGATATGTTGGAAGATGATATATACGAATAAGGATGCGATATCCAATGCACCCATCGAAAAGAATAGTATTGATATTGCCGGATTCAAATGTGCACCTAATTATCACTTCTATTATTTTGTTGTAAAAATATTAGAAAAGAAATTTAAATAACGTAGCATTTGCATATTTAATATCTTTTGTCTTCTTATCTATATTTGTTATCTGATAATAAAAATGCTTCAACGGATTTCAAAAATGTTGGCAATTATTTTAATTTTGTTCATACTTATCTTTGCTTAAGTTTGTCATTCGAATATATCATTGTTCTTCTTTTTGATGTTCATAGTCCTTTTCAATGTATTTATGAATTTTATTTCTGAGCCATCAGAAGAATTAGAATTATTGCATTTATTTCGTTGAGTACAGGTATTATTATATCCATTTCATATATTCAAATTCAATTACTTATTGTGATCCCATTAATATACACTACTATTTCCAGATCAAGTTTATCGAGTTTTAATAATCATGAATAAATCGATTACCTGAAATACGTGCAACTGATGCAATGGCTATCATTATAGCGAAACCCCATCCGACAGCTATTTGAATCCATGTATTAATAGCAGCCCTTGGTAGAAGGAATTGTGCATTAACACTTGTTCCGATAAACTAAAATTTCATACTATTGCAATGATATTTACATTATTATTATTAGATTTAAATGACAAAATTTATTATATTTTAATTAATTTCAACAGAATCTTTCATTTAATTGTAATAATAGTTGTAAAAAATTCATAATGCATTGTTATCAATTGATAACGATCGTAATCAGAAACTATTACATTAATGCAAAGTTATTGCATATTTTGCATCTTTCAAATTTATTGCTTATCATATATTCTTGAATAGATATATCGATATTATATATTACCTTTAATGGTCAATTCTTCCTTCAAACTTTTTCCTTCCCAATCATTTGTTCTTATATCGTTTATTTTACATTTATTTTAGGATAAATGAATAATATCTGCGAGGAATTTTGGAGAGAGAGAGAGAGAGAGAGAAAAAAGAGAGCGTTGAAGATGAAAAATGTTAATGACCATAGGTCAGCAATGACCGATTAAAAGTAATTCTTGAATTGCATGTGAAATTGAGGAAAAACTTATTACTAATCGTTTGAACGATCGTTTAATAAATTGGCAACAATGCGTAATAGACCAATAAGTGGGTGTCACCGAGTGCTGATTGATTTTAAAAAAGAAAAATTGTTTTTCTGAAAGTGTCATTTCCTCTTTTATTACACAACCACAAGTCATTCCTTACTCCAATTATGGTAAATAATGAGAACAAACCAAGCGTTGCACAAACCATAAGATATTTTGGAGTAAAAATCATAAGATATTTTTCAAAGCTCAACTTACACAACAAAACAAAATGATGGATACATTGCATGTGACAAGATTAGCAATTGATCAGATGTATCGAAGATTTTAGCCAAAAAAAGTGATTCACAAAAAGATCCAAAATACCTTTGCATCAAAGTAATGCAAACATTTCATCCAATAATACAGCACACTTTTTTGATGATATTATTATTCAGAAGTTTGGATAAAAACTTCCCGGAAGAGATTAATGATGCGTAGACTTCATTCTGTTGGCTAATTTATTCGCTAATAAATCAATTAAAAACTTTTGCGAATTCAGAGAGTATTCGAAAAAAATTCAATAACGAAGAATCGAAACTGAATTACTAAGAAATAAATTTAAACTTAATTTAAACTTAATAAATTTCGCTATTTTATATAAAAGAAAATTTCGGAGAATATTTTCAGTTCTGCGACATTCAAAATATAATTAAGCTTACCACGAGAATAAATGTACCGATAGCTTCCGCTAATCCATTTCTTATTAATTTGGATTTGATCCGGATTGTATTCCGCACCAATTCAGGTGAATTAGGCAACTTGAACAATCGATCGTTTCTAACTTCATATGAATTATCCATTGCTTTCTAGTTAATTCTTATATACCTGAAATACCTTCCTAATCATTTTCACATTGAAAACAAAAATACTACAACAATTGAAGCGCTAAAAAAAGGAAATTTTTGCGCTCAATGATCCTGTATTAATTTTGGAAAAAAAAGAATAAAAAAGCAATTCGATCATTAATCTATTTTCTTTGTTTGCATTAAAAGGATAAAATTATAAAGCTAATTTTGGAAGACAAACTTTGAATATTTAATGAGATTAAGGCCAGTAGTATAATAGCAAAACAATGTCCCGACCCATTTGACAATTGAGAATAATTATCTCAATCAATAATAGGCAGGATTAGAATGCTTGATAAGACTAAGGCCAGTGGTCAAAGAGCAAAACAATAGCATCCACTTGACAATTGAGAATAATTATCTCAATGAATATTAAATGAAAGCATAGATTACCAAACATTACTATCCCATTTACTTTAACTTAATTAAAACTTTAACTTAAACTTAATTCATTCACTAAATGACTTTCACAAATAATATATTTACTAATTTCGATTAATTTGAAGTTCTAATTTTCTTTTATAACATTAGAAAGAAATATATACAACTGCTCAAATTCATTAAATTCTTCCTCTTTGAATAAATCCATTGATAATTGCATCTTTTCTTTGTTGCAATGCAAATATGTTGTTGGCTAATAAAATATGTGTGATGTAAGCATAATTATGGAAGTTTGTGAAAATTAGATTGGATAAAGGAATAATGGACTACTTCCTTCCTATCGTCAAAATAAAATGAAAATAGAGTTGAAATTGATTAAGATGGAGAATTTTATTTGAATTCCGAAATCTCATTTAAACTATTACCTTTGAAAGGCACTTCAAAAACTTCTGTTACCAAATTTTTATAAGCATAAAATTTTGACCCAAATTTTAGAAAATGGGAATTTGAAAGTGGCATTTTAATAGCTATGATCACAACATGTTTTCTTTGGCAATACCTCATGTGATATTATTTCATTTCATTTCATGCGTTATTTTTTTCTTACCTTATTTCATCATTTAAGGAAGTTAATATGTAAACACATTTTTTCTTTTCCGATTAGCAAATTTCCGAATTTTGATTTGATTATTTTTTTTTCAAATTTTGCAAATTTCAAAATTTTCGACTTGATCGTGGTAATTTTGCAGAAAATTGTTTTATATCTGTCGAATTATTTTGTGTTTGATTTAACTGATACATTGAATCTTTCCGGAAATAAATGTTAACATTTATGCATTGTGATCGGATGTAAAAAAATTTTCTCTTTTTTACTTTACTTTTTTTTAGTATAATATTGAAGAAAGTTATTCTTAAATTTAAAATTCGCAATTAATGATAAGTATCATTTTAATGAGATTTTTCACATTCACTTACATATTGCTCAATTTTTACTTTCCATTACTTCAAACCTTTGCAAATTAATTGCTAAATTAATTTTGCACATAAAAAATATGTAAGCTATTTATCATAATTATCAGAAATAATCGTTATTTTGAATTTATTTTTAGAATCTTTCTTTCAGTATTTGATTTACTATTGCGCTCAAATTTAATGATTTATTTTGTATGAATTAATAATTTATTTACAATTTATCATCAATTTAATACGGTACTTTTCCAGTATCTAATGCTAACATTATTTTTCCGATACATTAAGTTTATTTGCTTTTTTACTTAATGATTAGGTATTGTCTGCCTGATAGGAATGAATTGAAAGCAAGTCCTTTTTGTCGCAAATATATCATAAAATAGCAAAAGATGTCGAAAATAAATCGATTAAAAAAACTTTGTTTAAAATTTCAATGTATTGTTTAATTGCAGCAAAAATTTTTTAAAATTAGAAGCATCTATAATTGAAATAGAGAAAAGAAAAAGAGACTAAGAATTTTACTTTTTCTCGTTAACATATTTTCTTCATTTCACAGTTTAATAAAATGGATATCAGAAAAATTTGATTTTATATCCGCTTATCAAAGGAAAAACTGAAGAACCATTAATGATAAAGAGTGAACTATCGTAAAGAATTTAACTCGAATGGTTTCCTTTAATACAGATTTTGATAAAGGTCAATCTGAATGGATTTCTTTAACAGATCATAATGATCTATGTTGCTATTTATGAATTATACAATGGAGAAGCATGCACAGTAAATGGCGATATTTAAAAGTATCGAATCACAGTTGAAATGATCAGTGGTTTTCTGTTAAGCTATTGCACCGATCATAATGGTTGATTTGCAGTTCAGAGAAATGTATTTACAGAATTATGAGAATAGTTTGGAACTGCGTACTGCATGCAAAATATGCTTTTTAATAATCCCTGCATTGTTTCACCAATTTCATTTAGTAATTATCAAATAGTTAATTTTATCAATTTGATTGCTTAGTGCTATGTATCTTCTTGCCTCTATACAATAGCAACGGAAATATATAGTCGTAGGCTTCTTGAGTGGCAAATAAATATATTGTACTCATATGGACCATTAACAATCGCTGTGGTATATTTGCATTATGAGAAGTAATCAATTGAATAAAACTATTGATAAGTGATAACTGACAAATGAATTGTTCATAAGTTATAGCTAGTTAATATATAAAATGTAAATGCCAAATACTACATTTTATAAGAATTGGTTTCTGAACATTATATCAAAATTATAATTGAATGAATTAGCAATTGTAGATGCTAACGTTCCTTTGTTGTATCTTTCTGTGCAACATCACTTATATGCCTCTTTTTCATAATTATTCAATAATTTCTCTTTTCCAATTTTCGAATATTAAAAATAAATCCGAAAGAAAACTCGGCAAGGCGTGAATTGATTGAAACGATGAAATGATGTCCAATGCTAAAATTCTGAATTATAATTTTCTTACCGAAGTTACGTTTCCTTTATTATATATTATGCAGTTTATAAAATTATGTTAGGAAATAAGTTATAAGTTCTATAATTATATTTGGTTTTAATTTCAGTCCTATCAGAAAGAAAACTATTTTGAATTAAAATTCTAATTAAGACAGTTCATGATCAATTATGCATCTTTTCATTTCTCAAATTTAATCAATTTCCTCAATACGGATATTTGCCCGAAGGAATGAATTTGTTATCATGTTTTATGATAATCTCATCATGAACATTTCATTTAAATGCAACTATATTATTACTGGTATTTGATTCGTTGAAAAATTATGGATATAATTCTATGCAGTTGATAGGAAGATGAAAACTGTTGCAGATATCAAAATACTTTTTGATGGGAACAAATCTGATAGATGTATTATTCCAAAAATTCTGAATTATAATTTTCTTACCAAAGTTACCTTTCCTTTATTATATATTATGCAGTTTATAAAAATTATACTTTAGAATTGATTTTTAAATTGATGATATTGTAAATTTATCGAATCCCAATCATAATCCATTTTTGAAAAATTACTGAAAATTTTGCAGTACTTTTTTCGCTGTAACTTTAAGATTGAGGAGATTTGTTAGGCCAATTGAATATAATTTTTTGCATATTATTCGTTGCAGAGTCCATCATTGATAAGCTTTCAAGAAGATAGTTTTTAAGTAGTGCAAACTTTATGATTATGAAAAATTTATGATAAAAATGATCTCCCAACTATTTTGCACCTTATTATGCAAATCATCATTCTCTATCTCTATTCTCAAAAGTTTATAATCAGTTATCATAAGTCTTTACTAATTAAGAAAGAATTATGTAAAAATTAACATAATTCACATTTGCTTAAGATTTATCCTTTGTTTAAATTAATCTTTACGCATATTTTCGTTGATTAACCTAAATTTTATTGCTCATAAAATTATTGTTTTTGTAATAATGCTTAGGGTAATTAATTAATTAATTAATTCAAGTTATCATTGTTTATCAAATGGTTATTGTTTAATAATGTTCAGATGATCATATATTTCCCCATGAAATGGCTACAACATCGATATTACTGTTGAAAAGTTTATGTGATGCAGTGATGCTACTATTGGAAGATTTTTGTGGTTGATAATTTAAAAAAAAACTAACATTACATTGTTTACATTTGGATGGATCGATCAAATGGACTTAATCTGATTTTAAGAGTTGTTAGTACTCTTTTGATATTTCTACACGAAAACATTATCTATTAAGTTTTTCGATATAAATAAAATTAAGCAGAAAAATTTTTAGATCGTATCCAATCAAATTTTTTGTTTACAGGTGCAAATTTAAGAGAATCAATTAATGACAGTTATTTTTCAGATATTTGGATAACTTATTTTTCATGCTATTTACAAGGAATCAATCAAGCTATTTAAAATCCTTTTTTAATTTATTTTATTTCAAGTTTCCAGGTGATTTTTTTCAAAAAATTTAAGAATTCATCTTTTAAAGTATTTTCATTAATGGAAAAGTGAAATGATGAATTGACAAAAATTTTCAATCGATTTTAATTCTCTCTACTTCGATTTTAATTCAATGGTCTAATCAATTTTAATTCAATATTTTCACATGAAGTGCCATTGCTTCTTCGAACTGGAGTTTACCGATTTTATTGAAATGTAAGAGGCTAAGCACTACCATGCTAAACACTTTAATTTTTCATATAGATTTCGGATCATAATTCTATTCCAGGTATCTCCATCAGATAATTCTGGCTACTGCACCTGAGATACAAAATGCTGCTATCACTCAAGCGGATCATATCATCGGTGTTTTTTCATCTATTAAGAAAAGAAATTAATATAAAAAAGAACTTTTAATTATGATAAGTAAAATTATTCTTTGCATTATATCTTATAGATTAGATTGCTTACTTCATAAGTAATTAGTCTAAGTGGAAAAATTTTTAAATTTCGGCAATATCAAATAGAAATATGTTTTATACATTTGGTGAATCGATTATTCATTAAATGATTAAAATGTGTTTTCTTTTACATAATTAGAGAAATTCTATCGATTAGTAAATAAAAAATCGGTGAAATCATCAAAATAATCTTATGGATAATTAATCCGCACTACGTTACAGGTAGGTTAATTAGAATTCTAAATATTATAAAATGACATTTTGCTCTTAGTTTTATTTCTTCATCAAATTATCAGAAATGATGTGAATTTTCTCTTATTCTATTTTACTACTATGCTATTCGATCGGATGATGTATATCAGTTTGATACTTTTCAAGCAAATGAAAGACGGAAAAATTAATTCAATGGGAGGATGGAAAGATGAACAAAATTGTGGGAAGGGAAATGAAAAGGAAAGAAAAAAAGTTGACTATTATTATTACAAATTAATATACGCTGCTATTCCGGATCATCAGATCCTTTAAACCTAAATTCTGATACTCTAATAAATTTGAGATAGAATATGAATCACTCCCATCCAAACTCCACGACTTACTATCATTTACGATTTTATAATTAATATCCATGAATGTTAATTAAATTTTCAGGATCGGCGCAATTCTGAATGCTATTTTAGCTTTTCTTAATTAACCATAAAGATCTCAGGATTCATACCGATGTTCACTGTTTACAAATTCAACGAAGATAATATTTCCTAGAAAAGTTAGTTGTTGCTATATTCAATTCTGTTATTTGAAACCAAAGTATTAATAAGAGTGAATGACAGACTATCATCCAGTTGTATTAGTTTACTTAATTTTATAATCAATAAAATAAGCGAATAACAAAGTAAAATTGAATCTATAAAAAATCAAACTGAAATTGAATAGAAACAATTATGCGTCGTTGATTCCATAGAATCTGAGGGACTATGAAGAAAAGGGTCCGAACCAGCAGAGGTTTTTAAGTTAGGAGTTTTCCACTTGTTAATTGCTCTTTTTCTACGAGTTCTACGAACTGTGGATATTTTCAAAAACTAAGAAATGCGTTTAATTACGTAGGATTCTCATTGTGACATTTAAACGTTAATTTTAAAACAATAATAAATTCAAAAATGATAAAATAAAACGAAACAAAATTCGAATGGTTTGAATAAAAGTCAAATATTAGTAGCATAGAAATGAATGAAATTTCAAGCTGCAAACTTTTTAATTATAAAAAATCAATATGTGTGTTGTATGTGTTGTGTGTGTGTGTGTGTGTGTGTGTGTGTGTTTGCGTATTTGAAGTGAAGCGTTGCGATTTATCGTTTTATTAGCACCACATCTCCTAAATCTTTTCAATCATTCTCACTTTAAAGTAATTAATTCTTTTCAACAGAAAAAATATAAGCTAAACTAAAATCTTTTCTGATTTGTCAAAAATACACAAATCTCTAAATCATTACTTCCGCATCAACATTTCACTAAACAGTCCTCTATCACTCTATCGATTGTATTATTAATGAACCGCTGCCAGAATGAGCACAAAGGCGTTGTAAATCATTCCACATTCCACCTCGTCATTTATCTTTTTTCTTCATTTCGTTATTTCGTGAGGTAGTCAAATATGGTATTAGATTTCCTGGGTCGCTCTCTTTTTATCATTTATCTCTTTTCCGTTTCCGTTTGCCGTCAGCGATTCTATCATTTATCAAATAATCTTGGTTATCACATTGTTGATTTTAAAACAGACTACACGAGGTTCATTTTTTTTGTTGAATACCAGTATTTTGTCAAATTTTCATATAGCTTTTATGAGATATAATAATTTAATGACTTCATGTAGTGTCAAGATTATGTTAGGGTGTCAGCAAGCAATACGATGATAATGTATTTTTTCCCTTTCATTATTACATTTTTAGAAAAATATATTTTTCGTTTTTCTTTTCAAGTATATGAAATATATTGTACGTATATGCCGAAATTTCTTCAATAAAAGAGAAATACATGACGGAGGACAATTAACAATTCATCCTTCAACTTTATTTGTCCATTAACTAAAATTTAATTTAAAATGTATTCTTTACGGTTCCATAGATCATTTTATTTCTCAGTTATTTTCTATGACCTTTAACCTTTCATCAATTGTCTCTGAATATTTGATCCAAAATCTGTTCAAATCCTTTCATTCTATATATATATCATTACAATTATTTCTTATTTTTTGCATTTTCTTCATTTTTCATGACGGTTTTTTTTGTTTTTTATTTTTAAGAAATTTATCAAAATTTGATTAGCCATCAAAAATCTCAGCTAAAATTAAAAGTAAAAACGCCTCGATTGATGGCATTGTATCTTAAAAAATAAAACTTTTATAAATGAGCATACCCATTGGAAATTCATTTTAAAAAATTTGATTAAAGTATTTGGTGTGGCTGATGCTACGAACAAAATGTCGTTTAATATGACCTACTTCTTTAATCGCTTCATTATGGTCACAATTGGACGAAGATTTTCAACTGCTCTCATGACATCTCGATTGACACATGCCAGTTTGAAAGTACGTGAGGTGACTTGTCCCATTGTAGGCAAGAAACCGAAAATTGTGAAAGAATGCAAAGAAGCTGTTTCAGTTATCAAAAGCGGTAAATTTGATATTTCTATCATTGACATATTTTTATTTCTTCTGATTTTCAATTTTCTAAACCATAATTTATGATTTTAATGAAAATCATTAAAAGAAAATTTGCCACGAGAATTTTCACTAATGCTAGCAAATACCTTTTATTTAAACATTTCAAAATTCACTCCTTAAAATATGTTACGATTAATATCGGAAATACTTGTTGAAATAAGTATTACTGAAAATATATAATTCACTATTAGGCGACAGTTGACAATTTTGATGATACATGCAATCATAAGCGATTTTCATTACTTTTTGAGTGCTAAAGTTTAAATTAACATTTTATTTCTTTGTGTAACTATATCATAGCTTATCAGCAATAAGCATGATGTTGATAATTTAAAGTGAAATGTATCATGAAAATAAGATTTTTCAGGATCCCACTTATTTGTTCATGGTATCGCAGCGACACCAACACCACTTCTGGAGGGTCTATGTGAGCATGTCAGAGCAAATAATTTAAAGAAAATAACTTTGCATCATATGCATTTAGAAGGAGAAACTCCATGGTTAGTTCCAGATGTTAAAGGTCGGCATTTTCTCTTCTTTGATTGGAATATTTTTTGTTGTTATTTTTGATATCTTCGTTAAGTTTGTTTGTTCAATCATAGCATTATATAAATTTACGCTTTTAAAAATATCATTGTCATTGTCGGTTTCATACTTTGGAATCTCTATTTTAGATCACATCCGTTCGAATTCTTTATTCACCGGACATAACTTAAGGAACGCTGTTAATGATGGTAAGTTTTACTTAAATACTCACCATTGATCGAGTAGTAATTTACTTTTCACTTATTTGAAATTGATTGTTCAGGAACAGCTGATTTCAATTCAATTTTCCTTCATGAAATTCCATTGTTATTTCGATCAGGAATGATTCATCTAAATGCTGCATTAATTACGGTTAGTTTAAAGGCAAAATATTGTGATGGAAAATTATTTGTTCAATGTTTTGCTGGAATTCATTGGTATAACCACACTTGTTATTTTGTGACTAATTACACTGTGAAAAAGGTCCAATAATGCTTGGACCTGATTTTGAACTGACAATTTTTTCAGGTTTCACCGCCTGATTCTAGAGGTTTTTGCACGCTGGGAACCAGTATCGACTGTACCCGTGCTGCGGTAACTTTAGCAGATTACATCATAGGTTTGTTTTATATTTATATAACCATATTTCGTTCACAATTTAAGTTTTTTCACTTAGCTTTTATCAAATTCTAGGAAATAACAATACCAGAGAAATGTTTTCATTTTTAGCAGTTTGTAACAAGAATATGCCACGTACATTTGGTGATACATTAATCCATGAAAGTCACATTGATTTTATGACTGAACTTGACTTCCCGTTGCATGAACGTAAATTTGCTACAAAGCTATCAGAAGTGGAAAAAAAAATTGGCAAATTAATTGCGAATGAATTAGTTGTCAATGGCGCTACACTTCAAATGGGTATGTTGTTTTTCCTAAATTCATCAAAATAAATTCTTTGCAATTTATACTGATAAGGAATAATCATTTTATCAAAATAAGTTTTTCGCATGTATCCATCTACTGCATTATTTTGTATTTTTGCATTATTTACGCATTTATTATATTTATTATGTTAAATCAAATTATTTTATGTGATATATTATCATTATATTATCCTAACACCTGTATTTTAAGAAAATTTATTAAATTTTTTTACTAAATTTTTCAAAACTTCAGCGCATTGTTGTCAATGTTAAGCGCAATGTACCGATTTCCTAATCTAATTAAAAATGTGTACCATATTTTTGCTTGAAGAAAGAAAGAATATGATTCTTTCTTTCTTCTTTCTTCCAGAAGTATGTAAAATTTGTTTGTTATTAATTGACATATCACTACTGGGTTAGTTGAGAGATAAAGAAATCTGAAAAAATTACTTCAGGAATCGGTGCCGTACCGGATGCTGTTTTGGATTCATTGGGTGATCATGAAAATCTTGGAATACATACAGAAATGTTCTCAGATGGTGTTTTGAATCTTGTTGAATGTGGTGCTATAACTAATTCAAAAAAAACTCTTTATCCAGGAAGAGTTAGTTTTTCCTGTATTCATTTGAACTAGAAATTATTTCCTTTTTTTTTTCAGTAGCAGTCATTTTTTCCAATTATGGTCACTGATTTTTGCAGTAATCTTTCCAGTAATTCATAAATATAAATATTAGCAAGTAATTGCAGATGGTTGTTTCATTTGTTTATGGCTCAAAAAAGCTGTATTCATTTCTGCATGACAATCCTTTCGTATTTTTTGGTGATGTTGCTTGGGTGAATGATCCATCAATCGTAAAAACTATGCCAAAAATGACTGCAATAAATTCAGCAGTGGAAGTTGATCTTACGGGTCAAGGTACCCTCCTTTTAATTATTTCGTCTAATTATGATACTTTCTTAATTTGCAAAAACTTCTATAAAGCTTAAGATCTTTAGACGCCTAAAAAGTTTCTTTTTTGTTTTTGCTGAATGGAAGATTAGCATCGAAATGAATACAATCACAAGAAATCAGTTGATCAGCTTACAATTTACCTGTTTGCCAGAAACTCATATAAGGAAGCCGTATAATCTCCTTAATTTGCAGTTGCTTCTGATTCTGTTGGGTCTCGATTTCTTTCCGGTTTTGGTGGACAAGTAGATTTTATTCGAGGCGCAGCGATTGGTACTGATGGCCTTGGAAAACCGATTATTGCCCTTCCTTCGTCAACTAAAAAAGGCGAATCGAAAATTGTTCCTTATCTCAATAAGGTGACAATAATTACCTCTTTTTATATGTGTGATTAAAATAACTCCAATAAATTTTTTTCTTATAATATTAGTAATATATAATTTGTAGGGAGCAGGAGTGGTAACGTCGAGAGCCCATGTCCATTATGTGGTTACTGAACACGGTATAGCTCAATTGTGGGGCAAGAATATGCGACAACGGGCATATGAACTAATAAAAATTTCATGCCCAAGTCAGCGGGAAAATTTGGAAAAAGCAGCATTCGAAAGAATGAAAGTGATGCCATCGCCGGATTAATAAATCGTATACTTCTCACTGGAAATGTTTATTGGAATTGTATTAATAATTGCAATAGATCTTATGACCTTAGAAGATCTTTCATAACTATTTTTCAGGGTTGAACAATTTTCTTAGGAACTGTCTGTGTATTTGGATTATTGCATGTAATAATTAATTTTGTCAACTTATATCACTTTGATTCTCATGTAATACCTCAAATGTATAAACAGAGTATAAACAACAGCTCAAAGTTCTATAAACAGCGAACAAACAGCAATTCACTTTTATCGTAACCATTGTCACTTCATTTTTGTTTAGAGTTGATGTCCGTATTTTTACCTAGTACAGTTGAAAATGTCCGTATTTTTGCCTGATTTGCTTGACACAATCTTCCGTTCTTTCATCGCACTTTTCTTAAAGCACACTTTAAACTTAAGTGTTTCAAACAGAGTAAAATTGAATCTAAAAAAATCGAACTGAAATTGAATGGAAACAATTATGCGTCGTTGATTCCATAGAATCTGAGGGACTATGAAGAAAAGGATCAGAATCAATCAGCACAGGTTTTTAAGTTAGGAGTTTTCCAGTTGTTAATTGCTCTTTTTCTACAAATTCTACGAACAATGGATATTTTCAAAAACTAAGAAGTGCGTTTAATTACGCAGGATTCTCATTGTTCGTTAAATTTTTAAACGTTAAATTTAAAACAATAATAAAATCAAAAGTGGCACATCTATGTGCGTGTGTGAAGCATTACGATCTATCATGTTATTAGCGCTAAACTTGTCTTATCACTTTTGTGACAACCATCAGCCATTCTGTAACGTTCAATCGCACCGTTGATATCATGGTGAAGACTAGAAATGAACACATGATGGACCACTATCCATTCTGCCTCTTCATTCACCTCTTTCATTCCTCTTTCGATTTCTCGAAATTTCCATTTCTTCGATCGTTTTTATTCGTCTCATTTTCGCGATTCTGTCGTTGAGTTGAACAACTATTGCTTATGTATCGGATCATTTCACTTATTACGCTGTTGATTTCAGGATGGATTCACATTGATGATATTCACTTGAAAGAAGTGAATCGCAGCAATATGTAATATTTACGTGTAAAATGCATGCATTCCTCACGCCAAACAACATATCACATATTATCCGTGACGTGTTGGCTATATTGAAAGAGTATGTCATCAAATTTTAGCTGTTATTTTAAGTAATTTGTTGGACTATCATGAAATGCTGCAGTTATTGATAAATTTATATTGTTTTTTTTTGATCACAAATGTTCAAAATTAATTAATTTATTTGAAACAATTAAATCCTTGTAAATATTGTAAGAACGATGACCGCTTTTCATTTCTTTCCCTACTACAATTGATGGCAGTTAAAATATTGTGTAAAATTTAAGATGATTAATTGTTTTATAAATGAATACTGTCTGTCATCTATTTAATTCATTTTAGAGATTAATGATTGTTCCTTTAGCATTTTATCGAATTTTTGATATGTATTTGAATCTTTATGATAATTTAGTAGGATTACTTCTCTTCTTTGCATATTATTTGTTAACTATTCGTTATCCAATTTTTCATGTATGATTTTCACAGGCCACTTTTTGTTTGTTCTCTGTTTGTTCTCTCTATGTTTATCCATCTCGTTTCGAAGATATTATTGAAACGGGCATTGAAAAATATATTTATAAACATAATATCAGTTGATTATTGTGTTTTGAAAACTTCATTAGCAGTACATGATAGGACATAATGTTGCTCCACCGAATGTGTGCCATTCTTATTCGTCGCTACAACTTTATACACTCCTTGATCTTGCAATGTTGGATTCTAAAAGAAATATTAAATCTATTATGAAACAAGTTTGAAAATGTACGAAATATGATTCCACATTTCTTTGAAATTTATTTGTAAAAAAACATGAACTGAATTTTATCAAACTTTTCGCTATATATTCCTCAGAATTAAAATTCGACATAAAATGTATAAATCTCTTTATTTTTGATCATTTTGCAGCTAATCGCTATAATTTTCGAATCAAACACTTTCGAATGTTTAGCACGTTGATCACAAAATACTGATAAGGTTAAATCTATCTGAGAACAATTTGTGAATTTCCAAAACTTTAATCTCTGAAAAATTTTTCCGCAGTAATTCTTTGAGAGATATTTATATAAAAACAACCTTCATTATCATCGTACATGTCCATTTGCCAACCATTTTCTTTGTCTTCATTATATATCGATCACCGCTTAATTCTTTATCCTATAATGAGAAGATGAAAAAGAATGGCCAAGAAAATTGAAATAATTGAGCTTAATAATTTTGAAAAATTACAATAGCTTTTTAGTATCAATAAAATTACTGGAAATTTTTACCGGAAAAAAATCTTCATTTCCATAGAAGAGAAAACACAATACAGGTTATTGTGGGAAAAGATGAAAAGACTAAAATTTTATTCCCAACAAAAGTTACCTTAAAAAACCATTGTATCGTTGGTTCGGGATTAGCATTACACATACACTCAAACAATACACTGCCATCGGGTTTGTTAATTATTGAAGGTGCTTTATCGAAGAATGGTGCAAGGCTCATGATTTTTCACTGAAATAAATCCATTTCAAATTATATCACAAAAACATTTAAATATATTCCGTATATCTTTTATAACAAATTGATTGGATTGAATATCGTGCTTCGTCTGTCAATTATCACTTAGTTAAAATGATTTGGAATTTCAAGTGAAATTAAGAGAGTAATTTATATGAAACAAAATTCTAATAAAAATTGAAAGAACAAAATGAAAGAGATTGTGATTAGAACTGAAATGAATGAAATATATTAGAGAAGATGTTAGGATTAGTAATAGTGAATTTGTTGAAAAATATCCCACAAAAACATAAATATATTCCACACATATCGAATATTCCACAGAGTGCAACAAAACTTTCACAAAACAAAAAAAGAAATGAAAACTAATTGTTGAGAAAATTGAGAGTGTAGCAAAAAACAAAAAAAGGTTGATCGTATTCTTTTTGCTAAAACGGATAATGAAATAAAAGGTAATTAAAGTATTAAAAGAATATCATAAAATTGATTTATTTATTGGAAGAGCGGAATATACCAATGATTACTTTAAAGTAATAATGTCAGTGGTCAGTTAAATAATATATAAGTGGTCAGTTAGAGAATAATGAACGAGAAGTATAAATGCACTGATGTATTAATCATCGATTACATATAACTTTCAATTCATTTCAATTAATTTACTAGCATTTTAGACTTCTCACAGATTTATACTTAGCTGAATAATATGTATGATTGTTATTATTTGCAAAACCAAAATGATAAAGGGATGGTAAAAAGGAATATTACTATATTAATTTATATTTACATATATGATATAATAATTATTGGTGATTACGAGATAACGTTTAATTAGAAAATTAAACGAAACATTTAATATTTTGAGTTTACAGAATTGTTATATGAACTAATGGAGCATTGGAAAATTTAAATTTAACGCTAAAAATGTTTATTGAAATCAAATGAAAACAAGCTTTCCTTACGTTTAACATTAACTTACAAATGTGATAAAATAACAGAAGAACAGCTGCTGTTTGTTGCTGCTGCTAATTTGAAGTTGTTTGATGGAACTTTGTGTTTAAAATTTGAGGGAGAATGAAAAAATGCAGTTAGCAACAATCACAATACTTCAGTATGAAAGATTAATAGTTGTTGTGCACACTGAAAAATTTATTTTCAAATCATCAATTTTACATTCTATCAATAATTTGAGCTTTCTCAGATTATAATTTTCAAACAATCAATTTTATTGATAATTAATAAATTAATAAATTTAATTAGTAATTAATAAATTTAATTTTATTTAATGGAATTCATTGTAATTCAATTTTACTTTCTATATTCCATCATTTTCATCATAAAATTCAAAATTTATCATACCGTATTTAATCTTTAGACTTTAGTTTTAGATTTGAAAAAAGAAGTGAAACATCCATATGGAATGCATAAAATACAACATTTAATATTATCAACACAAATTGCAATTAGTAATGGATCGCAATTGCCTAAAAAAAAATCATCATACATTGCAATAATAATATTATTATTATGTATCGCTCAAGAAGAGATACTTCATTCATTTCCGGATGTGATAGTGTTTCTTTCATATTCCGGTGCTTTTTAATCAAATTGATTACATACTGTTGGATCAGAATTATATTAAAAGCTCAATAATACATGATGTATTTTTTTAATTGCGCTAAAGTACCCATCATTTATCATATTACAAAGTTATAATACTATTTAATTCCATAATACTATTTAATATTGTTAAGTTATAATATTGTTAAATTCTTCCATTTTTAAAAGTGAAGATAATATAGTTTAACACACAGAGATTTAACACACAGAGAATAATGTTGCATAAACTTCCATCATTGAAAAAATGTTAACTTATAAAAGTTTTAGGCACAATTTATGATATAATATAATGCTAATATATATATATACATATTAGCATTATAATATATATACATATTAGCATTATAATATATATATATATATATTATAATGCTAATATGTATATTTAAGAGTGAAAGTAATTATATAATATGTCAAGAATAAAGGTCAAAACTGGTTCCGTTTCTTAATTGCGAATAGAGAAATAAAAGATAGATACATTATTTAGATTTTTGTGTATTGATACAACTGGTTTTTTGATAAAATCACGACGATAGTTTAATGCAGTAAATGTTTTCAGAGATATAAAAGACATCAATTTTCACTGTTATAAACTTTTACAAACATAATAGTTTTTTAATCAATGAAGATGAAGGAGCGGTCTAGGAAGCTGAAGATATGTTTCCTGTAATCATTATTTACATGATTAGAGATAATTATTATTGGTATGATTAGATATATTCCATATTATAACTACGAATCACTTCTCATTTTCTAATTTATTCCGACAAGGAGG